AAAAAAAAAAAAAAAAAAAACTCACTTAACAACTGAATAAGCAGGATTGTACTGCAATGGATTGGTATAAGTCTGTCAAAGAAAAGAATAAGAATAAGAATTCACTAGCAACCAAACAAGTATAAGACCTGCACTCTGTTTTCCGAAACCCCAAGATTCACAAAAAATATTCAAACTGAGAATTTCTAGAAGGGAAATAAATTACAGCAGTTACAAGATTATATTATGAAAACAAATTTTCAAGTAATTAACGTTGTATTATAGTATAATAATATCTTCGTCACATATCTGGAAATGTTACGGTTCCGGCCTTTGGGCAAACATAGTTTTCTTTAAATTTTTAACCTTTTTTTCCGACGCAAAACAAATAAAAGTCAAAAGAATCAAACACCCAATTCATGTCTTAGTTACAGAATCAAAGATGGGATCATAAGTAACAAAACCCAAATAAGAAATTATACATACAGGAAGATGAGGAATGTAATCAGACAAGTGTGGGACGTCCTCCAGAATGAAACCAAAATCTCCACTCACGATTTTAGGCTGCAAATTTTTGAGCAATCCTATTCCCCCCATTGAAACAAACCCATTTCTTGGATTCAAACCAGCCTTTTCCTTATCATCACTTGCAAAAATTTCAGCAACACTACCATTAGAGACAGAGTTAGACACAGTCGACTCCATTAATATGAAAAATCGCAAGTAACCAGCTTCAGAATGTGATGAAAATATCTATATTTTCAGGTAATTAAAAATGCTGAATCTTGATCATCAACTTTTCTAAAACGGTAGCACATAAAGTTTGAATATAATTTCGTTCTTCTATTTCGTTCTAGATTATATAGTCCATGATTCAATATATATATATATATATAAAGGGGTTTCGTTTCTGAGGGTGGAAAGAAATTGACAGTTGGCGACGATTTCTGGGAGGTAGATAGGAGGTCACGAAAAGTTTCAGACTTTCAACTTGGGGAAACACAGTGGAAACCGCGAAGAGAGAAAAAAGGAAAGGTTAATTTTGTACTTTGCACTTGCTGTCAACTTGGACACTGAATTTTAATTTGTTTCAAACTCATCATCAAACTTTATAAATGTGTCAGTTAAAGCACTCGATTAATTAATTGTCTATTATTTAACTGAAAAACCAAGTAGTCGAACGATTTGATGATTTGATTTTTTTAAAAATTCAAATCGAAAACCATAGCCAATTATTGGTTCTTGATTGGTTTGATTCCTGATAACTGTATTTTTTAAATCCAAACCCACTTCTATAATATACCATATTGCAACTTCACACATTTATACTGTATTTACACTTGGATGTACTAATTGGACAAATTTCCATATCATTTACCGACATCGGATCTTCAACTGAACAATAGACTATTGATTAATCGAGTGGTTTGACTGAGATATTTTAAAATTTTGAGGATAAGTCTGAACAAAGTAAAGTTCAATAGCCACAATGAGTAATTGCGAAGTAGAGTGGGCATTGGTGGAATTAACTCAAAATAAAAGATAATTGACCTCAAATCCAAGTTGTTAAAAAAGTTTAGGGACCTCATATATAGTTAAGGGACCACCTAAGTTTCGAGACATGTTGGAAGAAATTAACATCCATGTAAGAAATTCCGCGTGTCAATTCATCATCTCCTTACATTGAACGTTGAAATGAACAAAAGGACTAATAGATTCCTATGTAAGCTGTATGACTAACGAATTATGATTCAATGTCTGGAAACATCAAGCTTTATTCATACAAGAGAAAAAGTAAAGATTTTTTTTTTCTCGAATTTTATTTGTTATTGACTAATACCTTATAAATATTATTGAACAAAAACTGGTTTTCCCACCGTTTTATTTGATTTGTTCTAGAATCTGGAGAAGAAGAAGATTCTATACATTTTTCGGATTCTCTCTTTACTTTATTATTAATTAAAACTTTCACTAAATAAATATATTTATTCAATAATTTGAGGGGTTAATAAACCTTTGTTTGGTAGAAATTAAAGTACATATTTTAATCTAAATCAAAGTTAACAGTTAATTTTAACCTCACATTTCATAGAATCCATAACTTTTCAATCACACATTTCATCATCTTTTATCAAAATCTACTGAAAATTTTGATTTTAATCCTACTAAATAGGGGCTTAGTGATAACTGTAGCAGATATCTCAAACTTTTTCAATCACACATTTCGACGAATGTCCTAAGCATTTCAAATTTATGTAGCGGAAGGACCTCTAGACAATTTTCATCTGAAAGCACATTACTTAACCAAAAATATTTGTATCGGATGTTTCAAACTTTTTAAAATGTGCAACATGGCTCTTTTAAAAAAATGTGCGTCTAAAGGACTTCAAAACAGCCACCGCCACCTCACAAAAGCGTCAGTAACCATTGTTGCCTCATTTTCTCCATTTCCATCTCCATCGACCTCATTTTTATCATCTCCATCAACTCAAATTTCCTCTTAATAAGAACTTTTTAAAAATTTGAAAAAATAAATAAATTATCTTTGAAACCAAGAGTAGCGATAGCGACAGACGCTCCCTACCTTCAAATGGGTAGGATTGGGTGTGTTAAGAGTAAAGTGTTAGGGTTGGGTGGTTGGTTGGATTAGGGAAGGATATTTTTTATTAATAGACAAAATTTTGGATGAAAATCGTAAGAGGTTCTTTCCTCGCACCTTTATTAAATATTTGGAATCGCACTGCAAATTTTTGAAAAGTTTGGAAACTCTAACGTAAACTTCCCCTTTTTAATTAATAAGAAGTTAAAGATAATTTTGCTCGTTTTAAAATTGATCAAATTATGGTCAAATATTGACTTTTGATCAACTAAAACCATCCAAGGAGCCTTTCAGTGGACGACTTTAAAATGTTTGGAACCTCCTCTGCTACAATATAAATATTTGAGTGTAATCTATACACTTTTTTAAGGTTTCGGACCTCCACAGAAATTATCCCTTAATAAAATACAGGTGTGGGGTCCATATTGACCAATCTTAGATTGTAATTAAATGGTATGGTCGATGCCTTGGCACATGAGATCTGACGTACAATGTGACGCACCCCATGGTTTTAGAATTATAGACCGTCTCTTGGTGGAAAAGGAAAGAAGGAAATATGTCTGTTGAAAATTGCTTACCAGGGCCAAAGTTTTGGAAATTCAATATTTTTTTGGTCTTGCTGACCGAGTAACGAAGCTTCTTTTTTGAATTATACACATTTCCGATAATCGAGAGCTCAAATGAAATTAGTAGGTCAATTCTACTGTAAATCGAGAGCTCGAACCCATTAAAAAAAATAGAAAAGAGGTATATAAAAATTGTCCAAAATGCATTCTGCACAGAAAATGAAGCTAAAATAAGCCATATATATATATAACTGCGATAGATTTTATAACGTGGTATCTCTATATTTTTTTTATGGCCCTCTAATTTTCTCTAATCTTAAAATTTTTCACATAAATTTTAGCGTTATTGATCAATTAACCAGACTCTAATATGCAAGATTCCTATTAGGCAGTTTCACTATTCTTAATAACCTGGGAAAATGTCGCTCGGAATCACCCGAGTCCAAAACGGGAAGGTTGAGAAACAAAAATTGTGGGTAAAAGTACAAATCGTGTAAAAGTTGTAGATCACATAAGATTCAAACAAATAATGCTTAAGGATGACCTAATTTGGGTCTTCTATCAACTAGGAAAATGGTTGCATCTCTTTATATTAATATATATTTTTTTCATAATAGTCTATTAGTTCATTAATATATTTCTTTAAGTATTAAAAATGGTGACCTCTGACTATGAAGAAAATGTTTGAAAATTCAATAATTTTGTATGGTTGAGCGACGAAGGTTCTTAAATAATTCTTCTTATCTTTTGGTAATAGGTTCTAATCTAGTGAATTAGGTTGCATATGTCCTGATATTTAAATCATATGAGCCAATGTTTATTAGAGATTTTTTGAAAAAAAATTATTTTCTTGAAATATTAAAAAGTAAGAAAAAATTATTAATTCATTACTTTATTAGAAGAATTTATGGTTGAAAATAAATTTTAGAAAATAGTGTCTAACATGGGCTTACTCTTTTAGGAGAGCTTGTCAAATTTAAAAGTTTTAGTAGGGATGTAAATAAGTTGAATCGAAGATCGTGGCTCGATCGCGATTCGGGCTTTTTGTGTCCGAGCCGAGTCAAAGCTCGACCAAAAAATCAAAGCTTGGCTCAAGTTGTCATCTCTGGTCTTACCAAGTAGAGCCAAGACGACTCCCTTTTATTCGAAAGCAGTGAAATTTGATTTTGTTTTTTTTTAACAATGTAAATTATGTGCAATTTATACTAATTGTAGATTAAATAAAGTTACAATACTTCTGTTTTTTTTTCAGGTTTGGGATCGATTACAATCGAAATAGGCGAAGTTAAAATTGTACATGAATAAAATATTTCGGATATAATTTTTTTGAAACAAATAAATTTGAAAGTCAAATAATTTTATTTTTTTTTTTAAAAAAAAAAACCAACTTAAAAATTCTGAAGCTGCCTGCTTCTTGTGTTGCCTGCTTGGGCAGCTTGTAGCTGAAGCAGGCAGGCAACTTGCCTAGCAAAAGTGGCATGTCCATGTCACATGTCATTTTGGCCAGCGACACGGACAAACTCGGGCTAGGGTCGACGTTAGAAAATCAGGCTCGATCCGAGCCTCGGATTGGTCCCATCGAACCTCAAGCCGAGTTGGCTTGAGCCGCAAGCCATCCGAGCCAGTGAGCCGGATTCACATCCTTAAGTTTTAGACAAAAAATTTTAAATGGCATTTTCAAAAATAATAAAAAAATAATGGAACAAAAAAATCATTTTAATTTTTTGTCAATGACCAGTACATAGATGAAAATTAATATTTGTCATAAATTTGGGTAGAATTGCTAACAGCTAACATGACGTGATACGATTGCTTATTGCCAATAAATAGAAAATGGAAAACATAAATGAAATTTGACTTTAACATAAACCAGGGACATTTGAGCTTTACATGAATACGAGGTCGAGAGAGATGTTGTTGGAAAAAGGAAAAGTGTGGAGTACAACAATGGAAACCAAAATAATAGGAAGATGAAGATAAAAAAAATCGAAACAAAACTTGATCACGAAATGAAATCGTTGTCCTCAAACGATATTTGTCTCCTCTACTATGCTTTTAAGGATTGAAAATGGCAAATAGTTTGTAGGATTATCAAGCTTAAATGAAGAAACACCAAAAGCTAAATGATTCTTCAAGTTGAACAAGTGAAATTATTGGAATTTGATTATATAAGAGAATGAGATTTCTTCAATGAATTGGATGACCAATGGAATGATTTCAATTGTTTTTTTTGGAATGAAAACTAACATGTTTATATAGTTCTCAATCATTCCTACACGAAATGGTATCAACCCATATGGAAAAGGTGCATTGCTTCATGAGAAAACCACCAGAAAATTTGAAAAAATCCAACCCAACGGTCGAATTTTTATACTATGCGACCACATAGGCTACAACTATGCGGTTGCATAATTATAGCAGTGCAGCTCCCATATTTCCCTATAGTCGCCTCTGCATGCCAATATGACTTATGCGACGCATAGGCCATTTTTATGGCGCCAATTTTAGTTCTTCTTCATCTTTCGAATTCATTCACCCAT